TTTTATACCTTATGCATTTTCTCCCGCATCCATTTCTCTTTTCCCCTCATATTTGGAATTGTGTAGACAACGACCAAAAAASAGGGAAAAAAAGACACATTTTGGACATGTCTGTCACGTTGGTGTTCTCCCAGAAGCTTAAAATTTTAATGCAGCGGACAATGCTGGGGCAGTCCACTGGCTTGTTATCTTTGTGGGAGCAGACACATTTTATTCACATACAAAACACATCAACTTGTGAGCCAATGTGAAACGTTTCTTTGTCCAACTTGAGCTTGGAGCATCGCCTACACAAATCCAAAAAAAAAAAAAAATGAGCGGGATTGTGATTCCTGTCACTTTGTAGCTTCCGGAGTGATGTCTCAGTAATTCTTGTRGCTCAGCAGTGATTGAGCGCTAGCTTTAGATGACAGAATAAAACATAATTACTGGTCTTACACATGTGAATAAAGTTAAATTCACAAACCTGCTGTAAATGGTAAATTGACTGAACTGTCCCTCCAGACCCCAAAGTGTTTTACACTTACAGACATTTATCCATGCACACACACATTCACACACTGGGGCACACTGACAGAAGCAAGGCTGCCATGCACCGGCGCCACCATCTGACCACCATCAGTAGGCAAGGTGGGTGAAGTGTCTTACCCAAGGACACAACGACTGGAACGGCTGGATCGGGGGATCTAATCGGCGACCTTCTGGTTATGGGACGACTCGCCTGTATGTAACAATACAACAATTAAAACTAGAAGCACTCGGAGAGTGCAAACCTCCACCAAGGCCAATTCCCCCCATCCTGTAATAGAGAAAACATACAAAAGGAGAGATGGAAACACATTTGCCAAATAAGTTCTGATGTAGCGAACATTTAAGCAGGCAGTATGCATGGAATTTCTTCCCGGTGGAGTCAAATGTGAAAAAAAAAAAGTGAATGAATCAAAATACAGCGTGTGAGCGCTTTCAGCACAAACACTCCCATGAACTTCAGAGCAATCACACAATAACGTTCTTATATGGAGGGGTACCTGGTTGATCGGCTGTTCCCACGGACAGTCCAGCCAGGCTCACCTGCAGCAGGACTCTCCTCCCGCTYTCYTGGTCCTGTTGTTCCTGTAACGTGAAGAGAATCGCATTTCTTTTTGTACGTCTCCAGACAGCAGTAACATCGGCAGAAGTAGTTGATAACAGAATAATCACAATGTTCGTTATAGTAGACATCCTGGGATGTGTAGTCCCAGTGAGTTTGCGACTTGTACTTCCTGTTTCCTACAGGCATGCGTCTGACGTAATGACACTGCGTAGCCCTACTGATTCGCTCGAATTAAAAGAAAAAAATTCCTGTATTTGCATTGTGTTCTGGAATATCACCAAAATTTAATGGTGTGTTCCATGGCCCAGTACCCACATGTGGTAAAAATGTCATGACAATCCATCCACAAGTTTTTGAGTAATTTTGTCCACAGACGGAAGGACAGAACGACAGACCAACATACATGGCCGAAAACATTACCTCCTCCCCTTGGCGGAGGTAATAAAAAGAGAACAACTAACCTGAGGGAGTTTGGATATGAAGTYTTGTGTGAAGAAGGTCTAGCATAAGAATTTAGGTTTGAATACTGGGTCAAATTGGTGTCCATTTCTCATACATGTCAACCCCTTGGACYTCTGTCTGTATAATGAGCCTAAAAAACTGTAATTTTTACTAAAATCTGTATTAATCACYTGGGGGGTGCAGGCAGGCTGCAGAGATGACAGCACCTGCAGGCAAAGCAGGAGGAAGTGCAGACGGGAGAACTTACTTATAGCAGCAGAACAGATTAGAKCAGTGGTTCCCAAACTTTTTGTCTTCTGACCCCCAAAATATCCATGGCAAAAACTTGTGACCCCAAATATTACTGGTCTGAGTACATGAGCTTCGTGGATAACCCTAAAAACACAGGCTTTTTGACAAGCTAAACAGCTTATACACAAATATACATACTTATTTTCACTTATTTTGTGTTTTTGTAATAATTATTGGGAAAATATTGCATCAGCAATTATTTTATTACCCTTTAAATTGATTTCGGGAGATTATCCAAGGTGCTTCATAACCCACAATTGGGTCCCAAGCCCAACTTGGGGAACCAAAGTGCAGTGGTTCCCAAACTTCTCAGCTTTTGACCCACAAAATAACAGTAGCACAGACCTGTGCCCCCAACTATTTTTGTATGATAAACATTTCTATCAGGTCAACTAAACATGGGCATAGTAACAATATTTTTATACTACATTTAGCCATTTTAAATATACTAACCTCACTCATTTGTAACAACTAAGGCAAAAATGTAATTAATTCAGAAAAATTTTTAGGACCCCACCTTGATGTTTTGGGACCCCACTTTGGGTCCCGACCCCAACTTTGGGAAACATTGGATTAGAAGATGGTTATTCGATGTTATTTATTGATTTGTTAACATCCTAAATGCTCTGACGTGTTAAATAAATTTGAAACTGAGTTTTTTTAATCCATAAAATTTGAAAAAATCTGTGAGATTGCTCTGTACGTCTGTGTACCTGCAAAACCATGGACAATTTGTGAAAAATACAGACAATCCGTACAACTTGACATATATATATCTACAATAACAGCTCTAAGATGTTTTTGGTCTGAAATGGTCAGTATGGTCATACACCTAACCCCGGCCTGGTTGGGCATGCTGATGGTTTGTTACCAGATCCTGCAAACCATTAGAAATCTAGTAGAGTCCATGTTTCAAATTGTCAGAACTGCTGTGGAGGGAAATTGCAGGACTTTGTTGGGCTGAATTTTGTGTTGGTTTTAATGAAAAGTATGAAAAAAGATTCACTTTGAAATAAAATAGACTGCCCTGAATGCTGAAGGACAGTCATTTCATTTCCCATTACTTTAAATCTAAAATAACAGCAAATGTAGAATATAGGGAAATGTGCTTTTCACAGTAAAATGTTGCAACAGACTTTTCCAATAATTCAAACCAAGTGAAGCTCAAGAAATATTCAATTACTGGCTCACAGGCCAACAGCCTCTGTGAACAAATAAATTGTTTCAATGAGAAACTATTGCATCTGGGGACAATGGTGGGTGCCCAGGATGATAATGTATATGGGTGTCTGCATCCAAAACTTATGAATATTTTGTTACAGTGTGCAATCAAAACCTTTACATTAATCATTCATGCTCCTTGTGGCCCATTATTTCTTCTATTAAATTATTAATGTTCGGCGCTGACTTTCACATAATCAAGTGCTCGTTGACGGCTGCTTTGCTGCTGTAGATGAAGACAGGACCATAAAATGAGTCATTAAATTAAAATAAATGCAAAAAAGCGTGTTTGAGCAGATCTTGCTCCTATTTTGAAACTTTTTTCTTACGTGCAGTAAATGAATACAAAATGCAAACGTTTACCTAATGTGCTGTTCTGTTTTTCCCTTTCTCTCCCTTCTCTCTCCAAACCGTCCATTCAGAGTTTTTCTTGGAGCTGCTGGACAACTCTGAAAAATCTCTGAACAGCATGTTCACAAAGACGTACGGGAAGCTGTACATGCAGAACTCTGAGGTGTTTCAGGACCTTTTCACCGAGCTGAAGCGCTACTACACGGGAGGCAACGTGAACCTGGAGGAGATGCTGAACGACTTCTGGTCCAAGCTGCTGGAGCGCATGTTCCAGTTACTCAACTCGCAGTACCACTTCACAGACGACTACCTGGAGTGTGTCACCAAATACGGGGACCAGTTAAAGCCCTTTGGAGACGTGCCCAGGAAACTAAAGGCTCAGGTCACTAGAGCGTTTATAGCTGCACGGACGTTTGTCCAGGGGCTAATGGTGGGCCGGGAGGTCGCCAACAGGGTCGCTAAGGTGAGGCAAATTTTCATCTTGTGGCTGTGGGGTACAGTTTGGAACATTATTTTAGTAAACCAAAATGCTTTCCAAGCAGTATTATGTTGACTAAATTTGTTGGTTCCCTTTTTTGATGGTTTAATGGGACTTTGGCAACAAATTCTAAGCTTCTGAAATGTAGATTTACTATATATTTTATCAATAAAATAGCTCATTTAAAGGGATTTCTTCAAAATCTCATTCAGAATTATCAACCTTGTCTTAATAAAGGAGTTTTACAGAAGGAACTATTTAGTTCTTGAGGCCAGTGCTGTCAAAAGAGTAACTTTTTTGAACTACATTTTTTTTTCTAAAAAATTCTCCATACGGGTTTAATTAATGTCCCAATAACTCCTAAAAATTTATCCAAACAAAAGTGAAATTCCAGCATCAGAGTTTGGTAGTAACTATTTACCTGAGTAACTCTTTGGTAAAAATGTACTTTTATTTTTACGTCGCTTTATTTTCCATTTTTACTTAAGTCATTGTATTATGAAGTATCACTGCTCTTATTTGAGTAAAATATCTGGATACTCTACCTACAGTGAGTAATTTTACTGAATGAAGAACCAGCTTGTTTTGTTTGTTTTAACCAAYCGTCCAGCAGACAGACACCTGTGGTTTTTGTTCGTTTCATAAAATTTATATTTAAAGAAACTGATTTGGAAAAATGTTTATTTTGCCTGAGTTTATCTTGTAATTGTGTTATATGAATTATGTTCATTTCGATCTTTTAAAAATACTACAATTTCCACCTAGCTTTATATTTTTGGTCCYTCTGATGATGTAATTTTTAAATATTAAATGTCTTTATCAGTTACTCATTACCTGAGTAGCCGTTTCACCAAATACATTTTTACTCTTACTTAAATCACAAGGATGGCTACTTTTTATTTTTACGTGAGTAAAAATATGTTGAAGTACTTCTACTCTTGAGTACAATTTTTGGATACTCTCCGTCCTGCTTAGACCAACTTCTAKTGTGCTGAAGTAAATGCAGTGAGTAAAAATATGTTTCCAAGCCTTCCTGATCAAATATCAGTTTGAGAATGGTTTAAAATAATATAACTGATTTAAATACAGAAACAAAAATATTCACATTCAGTCCCAGTGGTCTCTGCTTCACCCATACAATCCTGATTCATATGATTACATCAAAACTATTTATTAAAAACTTAAAGTTGGGAGAAAATACCTTGAAAAGATCATTGTGTTTCTTTGGGAAGAAATGTTGATCAAGTTCAATATTTTGAAAGTTAAAAAAAAATTGTAATCAGTATAATTAGCATTAACACATTATTATTTCCTGTCTTTCTACACTTCTTTGTAGGATTGTGATTTTTGAGTTTTTATTAGAAAATGTGACAAACAAATACATCATTTGGAGATTACAGCTGTTTTCAGAGGCTTAGCTCATAATTCCATGTCAAACACACAAAGTTATGCAACAGTTTATGCTGAATATTTCAAATGAAACGTTATGTAACCACAGCTGTTTGCAGCTCCTGTGAACAGACTGCTTTGAAGCTCTGTTGAATGAAATGTTGCACAAAAGCCAACAACCCACTGAATTAAAGATTTTACTTTTTACAAAGTATAAAGTGAGTTTCTTGGAAAACTGAACTACTGAACATGTGATTAAAATGTCACCAGGACCCAGGAGTACAGACCAACACAGGGAAATTCAGGAAAACGTAAACCCTTAATAATGAAAGATACGATAAAAAACAGATGAACTGGGCTGAAGACAGGTGACACCAATGATTATAGAGAACAGGTGTGAAAAAAGGAAACTGAGTAATAATTAACAGAACTAAACACAAAGATCACAAAACACAGAAAACATACATTGTAGGCAAGAATTAAACCTAAYCGCAAACACAAAAGTCAACCAAGAAACACATACTGACAAATAATGGATTTARGTCTTTAAAATATTAACATCGTATTTTATTTTTAAATTGTGTGYTTTTATATATTTATACATAATTAAAATAGCACCAATGAACTAAAATGCTTTATATGAAATAATTTTTATAGGCTTYTTTGGATTATTAATACAACAGAGGTTTTTACATTTCCTATTTGCCATTGTACCAACATCAGAGCTTTTCACAAATTCATGCGAACTTTAAAACTGTCTTGGGATTTCAGACGTAATAAGATTCATTTTTAGCTGCTTCYTAGCTTGAGGCTCACAGTTCATTTGAATTCATTGGAGGAGACAAAAGAGAGGAGGAAGGAGGAAGTTGGAGAAGTGAGAGGTCAGAAAAGGAAATGAGATGTACATAATATGATAAAGAACCTCAGTCAGTTTTATGCTGGAAGCTTAATTTCTCCTAACTACAGACTGAGCTAAGAACAGAATACATTAWGAAATGAATATTTAACTTTATAGAAGAGCTTAGTTATGACCAGATATTGTTAATACACATAAAAAGGTTGTTTTTGGAAAAACTKTACAGTCAAATTCTTATCTTGATAATCACCATTAAAGAAAGTTTTGTTGTTTTTAATGTCATCTGTGCAAACCTTATTTTTTGTTTAAGTTTGGATGTAATGTTGGTTGGTTTTAAATTTGTAAATTAAATTGTTTCACTTTCTGTTTTAAATATTTGATATAAAACATGCATAATTCACACAGAGTTAAACGTCTGGCAGTCGTGACCTCAGATGTGTGATTAAATTAATTTTTAAGCTCAAAAGAAGCCTGGTTTAGGTGATTAATAACTGCTTTTCTGGTTTGAGCTGAATCTGTTACTGAGCTGAAACTTTAAATGTTACTTAGTTATCTTGATATTTCACAGACATCCTTCTGACCAAACTCTGACATAAACGATCTCTTGAGAATTGCATATATACTGTATTTTCTTATCATTAGGTTGACAAGACAACATTTTTAACTTCAGCGTTATGCGGCTTTTCCATAAAGCAAGTTCTTTAAACCACTTGTCGTTTAAATTCTTCTAAAACAGGACAACGCTCTGACAACAATGAGCCACATGTAATTACTGCCAGCAGACATCTCTGCACGCAGCGCGGCCAGGAAACCGGAGATATCGRTCCATAAAATGGGATTTCACTCGCCTTGCACTGAACAGTTTCCTGAAGCTTGATCCTGGATTAAGAGGCAGAATCTCTCTGGCTTACCATTTATGATGACCATTAAGAGTTTTATCCTGGATGTACTTAAAACACAGTCCGGCCACATTAAGACCTGCTGAGAGAAGATTGCAGGGATTTGGACCTTTTTAAAGTTCAGGCATTTAGAGCACGTTTCACTCACTCTGCATACACACGGGAAGCCTGCCTGGTCCTTTGTGCATGTTTAGTCGTTACGATGGAAACAAGCGGGGCATTGCGCACCGGGGGATTTGTTTTCCCTGACTGCTTACAACGCCGCGTTGATCTCATTATACACCCATTTCCAACCAAGAACTGTTAGATAATTTCAAATTAGGTTCTAAGGTAGTTTCTAATCTTTACAKAACTTTTACCTAAGATTACTGTGCCGTCAGTTCAGTCGGCTGACATCTGACAGATATCAGGATTGGTTTCATGGTGTTTCCATGGTTTTCTGTGTTTTCTCTGTTTATTGGAAACCATTGCTTTCAAAAAAAGAATTGAGTGGTTGGATCACCATTCAAATATGTATACAATTGAAAGACTCCATTTTCTTTCATGCCAGACTTAGATTTAAATTATTTTATGGTTCTATGGTTGCTCAGTTGGTAGAGCGGTTGCCWTTCAGTAAGAAGGTTGCCGGATCGAATCCTGGTRGGGGYAKCRTTRRMGGMMGYYMT